GAGCTTGTCTGGATTCCAGGGTCCTCAGCAAGCCAGCGGCAGTGCCATGCAGCAGGCTAACTGGAGTTGGGATCTTGCGTCTCAAAAATGCCATCTCATTTGTTCTGTGTGTCATGTATGAGTGGTCGTGGATGATTTTGCGCAGCATAATGGTCATCTGAGTCACCGCTTTCCTGATGCCTGTAAAAGTCATGCCCGTTGCAAAAATACCATAGCTGAAAATGGGATAAATGCAAGTCTGCCAGAGCTTAAATCGTTGAGCAATGCTATAGCAATGTTTCCCAGTGAGCCACCGTTGCAGTCTGCGAAAACCAGCATGCATCAAGGACAATCGATGTCGGATGCTGCAATCTTCGAAGTTGCCATAAGAGATGATCACACCCAAATACTTAGTGGTTGTATGAATGGGAATGTGCATGTCTCCATGTCCTGGCACAGGGATTTTCAGCTTCTCGCCAGTGTGGTCACGCCAGATAAATTGATGTCTGACTGCTTTGCACTTGGATCCACGCAATGCCACGATAGCCACAGATTTGCTGGGGTTAATTATCATATCCAAGGAGGCCATGGTGGAAAACATGATGCCCAAAACCTGTTGAAACTGTGCCAGTTCAGCAAGACTCTCAAAAATGCAACCAAAATGAAAGTCGTCCGCGTAAATTGTCACGTGTCTCTGCAGCCACTCAATCGTGACATGATCCATCACATCATGCAAAAAAAGCAGAGTGAACAGTGTCCACAATCCCGGGGCCGCCTTACACCCTTGTCTCACCCCCCTTCCAGTGGCCACGGGGGTATCCTGCTCTTCAGATTGGGTGTAATAAACTGTATTTTCATGCCATGCCGCCAATAATTGAATGATGGATGATCTGATCTGGAGTTCATGAAGCCGTGAAAAAAGTTTGCGCCTGTTTACCAGATCAAAAGCCCGTTTCAGGTCTAGGCATACCTGCACCCCGCCATAAAAGCCCTTTCTTGGGATTTGGGCCGCCCTGGAAATTGGGGTTGATCTTGCTGTCTGTACCAATTGCCGTACTTGACTGCAGTGGGAACTGACACAGCGGATTGCCTCCTGCGTGGATCGATGCTCCAAATAGGACCAAATTGGGAACCGAACAATGTGATCATGGACATCCCTCATGGCCAAATGAATAAGCAACCCTATCACCGCCTTGCCCACCGGCTCTTGGAGAGCCAGTGGGCGAAGGTTATCAGGATGACTAGGAGGACGATTTGGTTTTGGAATGAGAAATAACCATCCATGACGCCAGCAATCCGGTATCAGCGGTGGACACTGACTCCACCAGGTTTGGAGCTGCTGATGCAGCAAAGGTGCCAGCACACTTGCAGAATGACGCCAAATCACACCTGGAGCAAAAGGCTTTGCAACAGCTTTTGTAATCGGTATCAATGCCAAGGCTTTCTCTAACTGCTGAATCGTGAATGGCACGCCAGGTGGCTGATCAAATGATATTTGCATGCTGCATGGTCCAGCCCAAGTGTCCCCTACAAATTTATTGATGATAGCAGCACTTTCGATGGGGGTGGCCATCATACCCTGCTGATTTCTGATCTGAATTTGTTTACGGGGTTGCTTAGGGGCAAAACGATTGATTAAATGAAACAGTTTATGAGTGTTGTGCTGCTCAGCAGCAGCAGCAGCAGTGGCAACAATTTCATTAAACTGTGACTTTCTAATCTGTTTAGCCTCTCGTCTGTGAGCCCTTTTCAGGTGGGCAAAACGTGCAGCATGATGCCAAGCCCGAAAAAGATTGGGCAGGCTGATCAGTCCTGGTTTCTGCATGCATCGTCGGTGTTCCCATTTGGTCATGATCGTGGGCAGCGCCGTATTCCAAGGCTGTACAGGCCGAGACACACGTCCAGGTGGAAAATGCTCACAAAAGGTGTGAAAAACAGCTTTGTGCAGGCCATCTGTGACGTGGTTAGCATCAATGGTTGGTGTACCAAGAAAGTCCAACATGTGTTTCTGAGTGGCTTGTGCAAGACTTTCCCAACAGGGCGTGGAGTCAAGATACGCTTGACGGCTTACCTGTCTTTGCTGCATGGTAACCTTCTGAATCTGTTTGGAATAATTTTGGGGGATCCAGTATCTGGCAATGTTACTGAGAATGGGAACATGGCCAACCTGTGTCTGATTCATGAATGGGGAATGCCAGAGATAACAAACATCTCGTGCCGCATGGTCAGCAAACATCTGGCGAACGCAAATGTAATCAATCCTGCTGGCTTGTTCATGATGCACATATGTAGGACCTAGAGAGGGGTTCCACGTGTTCAGGGTTACCAATGCATGACCTCTCAGGAGATTAAGGAACTTGGCATGGTCAGGATGAGTGGCACCACTACACGCTTGGCCATTCCAGTGGAAGGAGGAGGAACCAGTAATCCCTGGAGAATAGGGAAGAGAACTATTAAAATCCCCGGCTAAGATTAAACAGTTCCTATTTGGAATACCTCCCAAAACTTGGTCAAGTTTATTCCACCACTTGTCTCTGGCCTGCAAGCATGCCTTGGTGGCATTGTAGGTGTGCTGGTAGCAGGCCACGATGTCAATCGGTCGTGGGTTCATCTGCAAACGAGCATGTACCAAACGCCCTGATTCATGAAATTGCCAGCGCATGTTGGACAAGGAGCCAAGGCGTCGGGAAATCAGGATCAAGATGCCCTTGCCTTTATGGGGCCCCTCTCCAGAATGCACTATGTTCCAATCAGCATCACTCCATTGAGAATCAAAGGTCAGTCTAGTTTCCACGATGATCCCAATGTCCACGCATTGCAGAGAAAGCCATGCCTTGACCTCGTCCAAGGTGTTGGAAGCAAGGCCCCCACTGTTCCACTGCCAAATGTTCAACCGGCTTTTGTTGACATGCTTGCGATTACATTGTTGCCATTCCCAGTACAGTGCATCTGAGGGTGTTGTGGACTGAGGTGAGTGGTGTCCAGAACATCCCATGCGTTCAAAGTCCATAGCACTGTAGAGTTTCCCTCTGTACCAGGCATAGCCAACTTGTAAAGCGCGCTTGTAGGCTCTAAAGATGCTGCGCTTGGCAACAATGGATTGTTCCTTTTTGGGCCTCACATGCCGTTGATGGGTGCGTTCGCACATCGTAGGCAGCCCGCCATGTTGCTTTGTTCCCTGTTGCAGCTGGATTTGTCTCAAAAACGTTGCATCGGGAACTTCAGTGATCCCCATGGCTGGATCACAACCCTCGCCCCTCCAGCCCGATAGGGTCATGAAAGCAAGGAAGCACAGTGGTATCAAGGATGTCAACCACCTGTGCTGTCTGTTCGAGCTGTGCCTGGATTTGGGACCAGGCCTGCGGTTGATTTGAAAACTGGGTCTGTCGGTCTGGTTGTGCCAAAATGAAAAATAGTGAAATGGAAGGTGTCTGTATCTGCGCCAATTCCTAAGAAAATGCCAAATAAATTGAATGTGTAGAAAAATCACCTGTGACTCAAGGGCCAAGTTAGCCAGCAGGAGCACCTGTGATCGCCTCAAACGTCTGCTTAGCATACACAGCAGTGAAAAAGTATGCACCACCATGGTCTGGAAACACAAAATGGTTATGGGCCAGGAGAGTGCAATTGAAGGGAGCCCACCCCTGCGCCGCCACGCTGATGCCAAAATCGCAAAAATAATACCAATCAGGCCAGCCAGCAAAAGGGAGCCTACCCCAAAGAAATCAATGTTGTCAGTGTAGAAATCTCTGCAAGACTGCCAAGAGCTCCTCCTCACAGTGGTAGGGCCAGTCAGATGGTACCAGGAGCCCACCTGTCAATGTCAGCTGAGGAAGGAACAATCCTCCCAAACAAATTGAAAATGAGGTGTCCAGTGATCCCAGTCGCAGTCCGTGTGAAAAGAAGCAAGTTCCAATGAATCGCCAGGCCAGTCAGAAAAAGGGAGCCTACCCCTGTAAATCGCAAAAATATTATGAGATACCTATAGCACCAATCGCTTGTCACCGGGCCAGTCAAGAGGCAATGGGAGCCCACCCCTGTCAGTCTGCAGGTAGTATATATGAACCAATGCAGTGAGTTCAACCACCCCAGAGCGTGTCGAGCCAGCCAAATTACCAATTGAAAGAGGAGATGATCAATGTGCCAAAATGAATGAAGGACAAAAAGAGGGCCAGTAAATAGCGAAAGGGAGCCCACCCCAGCACAATAAAAACTGGTTGAAAACTGCCCAGTGCTAAATAAGCAAATCCAACCGACCAGACTGATCAGCACCGCCAGGCCAGGGTCAATACGGGAGCCTACCCCGCAGTGTGCAGCGCTGTCAGCAAAAGCCGTCGTTGTAGCACCAGTGGTCCAAGATTTGTCCAAGTATTCGCACCAGCTCGGAAAGCCGCAGTGCACAAACACAGTGCAGCAGAGAATGACAGGATTCCTGAATGATCCCTGGGTGAAAAATGTGGTCTTTCTGATCTGCGCAAAACAGCAAGAGCAAATGAAAATCAGCGTCCAAATAAATATGAAAATGCAAATCAAGTCAGAAATCAGCGCAGGAATTCGAATGGCAGCCAATGAAACCGTCGCGACAGAACCCGTGGCTCTCAGGAGCCCGCTGAGAGCTCCTCGCTCTTTGAACCGCATAGGGGCTTGTGTGTGTGTGTGTGTCTGTGTGTGTGTGTCTGTGTCTGTGTCTGTGTCTGTGTCTGTGTCTGTGTCTGTGTCTGTGTCTGTGTCTGTCTGTGTCTGTGTCTGTGTCTGTGTCTGTGTCTGTGTCTTTTTTAATTCACACAAATCTTGATTCGCGACGTTGGCACCACTACACTCGCACTTCTTGGTCAAAAAGAACTTATGCCACTGCCACCCTGTCCCTAAGAAAGCAATGTCACTTGCACCATTCCACTTGATTCCAAGGGCACAATCAAACTTGTGACATTGTAAAGAAGAGCTTGCACTGAAATGGTCCATGCTGGATTAATCTTTTTGCGAGAAACACAGCACTCACAAACGGAATGCATTCCAGGGACTGTTGTTGGTCTGCTCACCCCAAATAAGAACCTGCAAAGAGCTCCTTCTGGCTCTCTCTCTGACTTTGTGCAGTGATGCCCCATGCCAACTCCAAATTCTCGATGCAGCCTACGCAACTTTCTTAAAGTTGCAGCCCACACCTCAGTGATCTGTCTGACAGTCTCGATCAGCGCATCTCCTTCTCCACTCTTTTCCAGATCCTCAGCTGGAACCAATAAACCACGTCACATACAGGCTAAGACAGGATGCTGCAGTGAAACAACCTTCGTGCTTGCATAAAGACCAGCTGCAAATTGCCACAAGACTGCATCGCTGCTGTCTGCACTGAGAACTGAACACTTTCCCGAAATTGAGCCAATCGATTGTACAGCTGCTGCAAGCGTTCCTCGCTAGGCCATGCTAGATCTGACTCAACTAGTCGATCGCCACAGAATCCTCCTTAAAAGAGTGCAGCTAAGACCGGCACAAAGCTGTACCCTGATCGACCCCTGCTGTCAGTCCTGAAATGGCACTCAATGGCTCACACGAAAAATGAATGACTCTTCAAGAACCAAATTCGATGCCAAAATCACTCGGATTGCAGAGTAGAATGATGGGGAGCAGACGCAGCTTGGGCAGCGTCTGCAGAATTCCAATCTCAGCGAATGAAGCTGGGTCAATCAACTGGCTGATTCTCAAGGTCCAGATCTCTAAGGTTGATGCTGAAGAGACCGGCCAAGAAAGACCTAATCACAATCATGCTCACAAACTGCCAACAATCACATGTTTCGTTGATGCAGAGTGCTGGCAGCCCATGTTGTGATTTACCCTCCCTGAAGGTGTCGCGTTGTTCTGTTAGTTGTTTGGTCTACACGCAAAAGGTAAGCTAGTGCAAGAAGCACCACAGTTGAGCCGCTCAGCCACAAAAAACACAGACGGACATGCAAGTTCTTGGAAGATGTCAACTCTTGGCACAATAATCCTGCAACATAAACCTGGAAAAGGCATCAAAAACGAATAGTGAATAGTGACTGATTGAACTAGGTGAACTCTCTGGCCTGCCAATATGTTCCAAAAGAGGTGGGGGTGACTTGTTGCTCGGGGACGAACCTGCTGCAAGCAGCCTCTGTTAAACTGAAGTAATAACTTTGGGTGGTTGGAAGATGTTGGAAGGTTGTGTCTTGTGTGTTGTGCTGCGTTGTGCATTCAATTTGGTATGGGTCGGCTATTTCGTTCATCTTCAATGGGCGACACCGGTAGACCCGGACCGAAAGCGCCAGTTGCAAAGCAATCCAGAAAAGAAATCAGCTGAAGACGACCCATTTTGGCACTCTCTACGGTCTTTGATTTCCTGCAAACTGAAACAATTCCTCTCAAGAATGTATCCTCCTTTCCGGCCTGTACTGATGATTGATGACAGTTTGTCATCAGGAAAAGGGCGCTGGTAGTTGCAACAACACTTATTCCTCCATTTCAGAGAAATTGCGCTGTAGCCATGAGCCCAAGTGAGAAGGAAAGGCCTGGTTCAATTCCTCCTTGGTGTCCATCACCAGCAGCTCAGCCTTGGGCAAGACTGTGTTCAAACGTTCTGCTACTTCCGCTGGATGAGTCTTGTCATCCCGTGCCGCACAGAGCAACACAGGGATTTGTAGTTTGGAGGCTGCAAGGTCTTCCAGGGATGGAAGGTCGGTATAAGCTGCCCCCTTCACAACTTCAGCGGCTGCAGGGTCAGTGCCCTCCAACTTCTCCACACACTTCAACAAATAGGAACGTCGTGCTGCTCTGATTTCCCATGCCGTTGTTACGGAAAACAAGACCAATCCTCGCACCAATGTCGGGCACAAATGTGCCGCCCACAAAGCTGTTGAAGCGCCCATGCTGAATCCACCTAGCAAGGCTCCACGTTGCTTCCGAATGGGAAGATGCCGAAAGTTTGAAGCAACGGTCAACATGTCAAAGGCGAGATTCCGCCAAAGAAACTGCTGAATGCACCCTGCCATAGGTTCCCATCCAGAGGACTTTCCATGACCTCTTGCATCAAACAGCACGGCGCTGAAAGGTGTTCCTTTCGTCTTTGCTGCCGCAACGGAATCACTGATCACAGGGAAACTCTCACATGACCGCCTGTGCATTGCACGTGGGTCTGTGGGTCCCAAGCCGTGACCCCACACTATTTGCAGGTCTTTGGGATTTCCAATGACCTCACATGGAAGCACGGTGTCATCCAAGAGGCACAAATCTTCCTGCATTGTGTTCATAACTTTCTCGGGGATCAATCTACTGAAACTGAGCCAAGAAATGACGATCAAGCAAGACATGCAACACTCTGCACAGAATTGTGTTGCTTTCAAACCAAGTCGGGTGTTCCTGTGCCTTAGCCACCTAGCATTTTCACTGGCCAAGGGCTCTGAGAACAAGACATTTCTGGAGTATGCTTTGGAGGAAGAATGTGCCGCCCGCTGCCTAGTCATGCGGGTTGCGTTGGAACACGTTTCCCCGTGAATTCATTAAGTGGAATTCTTATCATCTCATCATACCAACTCAATATTGGATAGTCCACCTACTCCAAACATCTTGCAAAAATGGTGCTGCCCCAGCCTTCAACTGTTAGGATCTTGGTGGAAAGCGCGCGCCTGGCCCAAGTTTTGCTTAGGTCTTGGCAAGATGGAAAGTGTTACACGAATCAGCCTGCACCATGCATGCCCCGAGTGCCGAGCACCATGCGGACACAAGCAAGTCGACTATGATGAAACACATGCAACTCAAGTCTGCCACATCGCCAATGCATTCAATGCATCAGGGATCGAATGTGCTGTGAATTTGCCCCCACACTAAGGGCATGCGTTTGGAAATGATGTTCCCGTCATGACATAATATATATTGAACCAATAACCCTGCAGGCAAACAATTGCTACACCCACGACATTTCAATCGCGGGAGGAGCGCCTGAAAACTGCATGAAGCAAACAAAACAAACCAAAGTACGAATAGAAACCAACACTATCATAAACCAAGGTGATCCCCCAACATTTCAAAATTTCAAAGGAATAAAAAACACGCGCAGCAGCTCTAGACCCGAGTATGTTGACAATCGTTTCGTGTTGAAACGAATAAAAAGGGTCAGCATGTTTGGATGACCCTTCGTTTGCGAAGTTGCCAGATGTACGTTGATGACGTCGGCACTGCAGAATTTGAAGAAAACTGTAAGTGTGACTGTGGTATTGGTTGGCAACTGTGCGGCATTTTTCTCTGCAGTTGGGAATGCTGGCATCTGTTGATGGGCAACCCTTTCCGCTCGAGACGAGGAAAAATCAAAACACCAGTGGATTTATTTGAGGTTGGGGATGCTGTGGGCTGGGAAACCAAAGCCGCCAACTTGTTATTTGCCAGTGATTGTGACCAACGGCCACGCTGGCACCTGGCCACCGATCAACACCTGTGGGTCAACAATGTTTTTGCAAACGTAAAAATCATATGCATCGACCATGCGAACATGATGTGAAAGCCTTGTGACCTTCCAATATTTTCCAAATATTTTTCCTGGACAAGGGTGGCTATGGTGGAGAAAACAAAGGAGCAAAGGAATGTACAAGGATGTAGAAGGATGTGGAAGGATGTAGAAGGAGGTAGGAAAATGTGGATGTAGGAGGCTGTGGATGTATGTAGAAGGACGCATAGAGGACGCAGAAGGATGTAGAAGGTTGTACGGGGATGCACAAGGATGCACAAGAATGTGGAAGGATGTTGGAAAACATAGGGGAATATAGAAACATGTTGAAGGATGCCAAAAAGTGTAGAAGTACGTTAGAACATGTGGAGGGATGTAGACATGGATGCAAAAGGATGTACAAGGATGTAAAACAAGTGTGGGAGGAGAAACATGTTTCTTAGCCACACGTACTCATTATTATAATTTTAACCACAAAAAAATGTTTAACCAGGCATATATTTATGTCTTAGCCACGCTATAACTGTTTAACCACATTTTTTGCATTGGATGGGTAGGAGGGTAGGAGGGGTGGAGGGTAGGACGGTAGAAGGGCAGACGGGCGGGGAGGTAGGTGTTGGGACATGTGCATTTTGACTGCACGGGCTCGAACAAAGTGTGCGGCGCGATTTTGTTTTGATCCTACATTTGTCTAAAGAAAATTGCGTAACATCGCTTTTGCAAGATGTCCATATGCACTTCGACCGCGCAGGCTCGCACAAAGTGTTTGGCTGGCTTTGGTTGCGCCTCAATTTTCGCGGCCGACGCAGTACTCAGTAGACCTGGACACATCCCCCTGCGATCTCCATGTGGGTTTTGAGTGGGAAGGCTCGCACCAACTCAAGGTGTTTTGCGGCATTTTTGCTGTCAATTCTCGAATAAAATTGCTCTTGTGAGATGTCCATCCGCATTTCGACTGCACAGGCTCGCGCAAACCCTCCACCGCAACGTTTTCTTGATCCTGGGGCGCGGCAAATTTCCCGGTAATTTTCGCGTAGCATCGACTTTGCGTAATGTCCATATGCATTTCGACTGCGCAGGCTCGCGTAAACTCAGGGTATGCTGTCTGGCCTCCGGCATTTTTCGGGTAAATGTTCGCAAAAAGTCGACTGCGCAGACTCGCACAAAGTCTCCAACGCGACTTTTCTTTGATCCTGGGGTGCAAAGGACCACCGGCAAGGATCACGTGGAAAAGGCACGCCTGGAAGCAGAGGCGAGTGGATCGCTGACGGCTGTGGGCTGCCCATGCAAGCTTCCTGTCTAGTGCACATTCAGGACCGCCAACCCCAAAACAAAATACCCAACCAGCCACACGCTCGCCAGCATCAACCTATTCCGGCCGGGGCCCCATCGTCGGCCACAGCGGGGCGAACGGGGGTGCACCCGTGAAGGTGCAATCCGGAATGGGCAAGCCCCCCGGCCTGATTCTGCGGGAGAAGGAGGCGCCCCAGGCAGCGGGAACCCCTCAACGGCACACACGCGGCGGTGATTTAATCCCTTCCTCCTGATGCTAAACGCCCCCCCCTATTACTAAACACGGCAAGTAGTTTTTAGTATTAGGGGGATTCCCTAATACTAAATTAAAACCCTTAATAATAGTAACTATTTTTTCCGATCTCAAAATCAATTGAATTTTCTTGTATAACGCAATTAAAACATTGCCAAAAAATTGCCAAAAATGCCATTTGGAAGCTTCCCCCTAATACCAAATTAAAACCCTTAATAATAAAAACTATTTTTTCCGATCTCAAAATCAATTAAAATTCTTTATATAACGCAATTAAAATGTTACCAAAAGTTGGATTTCGGGGCTGACTAGTTTTTAGTATTAAGGGGGAAAACCCACAAATGGTAGTTTCATGTTTAAATTGTTTTCTAAAGGGGATCAATTAAAAGTCAAATTGGCCAAATTGAAATCTTCCGAAACTGGAGATGGACGCCTGTTTTTAGTATTAGGGGGTCGTTTAGTCTTAGGAAGAAGGGATTACTCATCTCTATCACAGGAACTTTTCCGTTCGATCCAAGGACCAAATGTTTATTGAAGTGGGATCTTTCTGGCCGTGTTCGATCTGGAAGACCTCCAAATTTTTAGGATGGAGACACTTCATGATATCCCACCAATTTTGCAAAATGAATTACAGCAGGTATTGCGCCAGTTGAAGGTGCGAAAGGCGCAAGACGCGGACGGTTTTGTGGCTGAAATGGTCAAACTGGAGGGTGAAAATCTATCCAAGCGCACGCTACAAATCTCCAATTCGATGTTGCATAACAGAGATATTGAACCCACAGGGCGGAATATCTTCATCATGATGTTGCCAAAAACTGGGGATAACGCACAGCCCAACACCTAGAACCTTAATATCGCTATATTTAAGGAAAATCACATACACGATATTATCCAAGCTGTTATACGCAAGATAACGTGCGATGTTGAATGGGACGACCATTTTGCCCAATTCGCCGCGCAACACTTTGAAAAACGAACACTTGTTTTAGATTGCAGGACGCGATTTTCTTGGAATGCGCACGGGAAACTAGGCGTAAGATTTGGCGGGAACCTGTTGGATGGCTAGTCCCTAGTTGTTTTCCCACGTGATTTTAGCACCGTGGACGGTAGAACCATGGTCAATTTCAATTGACTCGGAGGGGCCAAAGAAAGAGAGAAAAATAATTTCAGTTTGCACAATGCAACCTTGCCTATGTGCAATGACATGTTATGTATTCACCATAAATGAGTATTCGCAAGTTGCACAGTTGCGCCAACGAGAAAGTAGGACCCAAACCAAGTGCTGTGAAATGCAATGGTCACGGAAAAATAGCCACAACGCATCCCAGTTGATACGGCCGAAGGCTTTTGAGAAATTTAAATTCACAATCCAAATGGGTTTGTTGATACCTAACAATTTGTCGATGACAACGTTTGGGGTGATTAAGTGTTCCTCCAGCCTGTTATGCGCTCGAAATCCGTGTTGTTCTTCCGGCTGTTGGTTGTCGAGAATCGGGTCCATGCGAGCTAGTAACATGTAACAACCCAATTTGTAACCGTCTGCAACCTCTTAGCCCAGGCAAGAATCCCAGCCACCATCGCCAAAGCAATTGGGATGGGACGAATGGTGGCTTTGCAAAAACCAAACGGAGGAGTCCGAGGCTTGGTCATTGGCGACGTCTTGCGTCGCGTAGTTTCGCAGTGCTTGGCCCAAATGTTTGCCACCAACATCCACGCAGCCTGCAGTCCACACCAATTTGCCTTGTCCACCCGTGCCGGGACAGGGGCGATCATCCATGCCCTCAACACAGCGACACAACACAACACCGCCACCACAGTCCTATCCATCGATGGGGTCGGCGCATACGACACCATATCCGGAAACAGCATGTTGCAGGGACTTTTCAACACCCCAGCAGCCAACCAGTGCCTACGTGCGCTTGTGGTATGCCACGGAGTCGGAATACGTTTGGCACGATGAATCGGGCATGCACCATTCCATCACATAAGCGGAGGGTGGTGAGCAAGGCAACCCCCTCATGCCAGCCCTATTCTCCCTGGGACAATAACCGGCCCTACAAGCTGTCCAAGCCCAACTCCAGCCAGGCGAACATTTGTATGCCTTTCTCGATGACGTCTATGTCGCCGTACGGCCCGACAGGGTCCGCCCCGTGTACGACCTGCTAGCCCACCACCTCGCAGCACATGCCAACATCCGCCTCAACCAAGGCAAAACCAGAATCTGGAACAGCAGCGGCCACCGACCAGCAAACACTGACACGTTG